TGGGGGGGGACACAGGGCTGGGGGCTCTGCGTGCAGCTCGGCCGTGGGAAGGGATGCCAGGACACAGGGTTGCTTTGGAGGCACATGTGGCTCCTACAGGAGATGTCCCAACTCGAGGGACTCAGCCCCATGATGAGGCCGCCCCTGGGGCTGAGACCCCTGACCTGGGAGCATCGCAGGCAGCGTTTGCCGGAGGGGACCGGCAGATCCCGGAGGAAAGCCAGGTGCTGGAGACAACCCAGGGAGAGGGTGCTGATATGTGTTCACCGCACGAGGAGGGGCCTCAGAAACCAGAAGACCTTCAGGCCAAAATGGAGCAGCCAGAATTTTTGACCCAAGCTTGGAGGGCTTTGGATGGGGTAGAAATCCGGGGGCAAAGTGCTGTTCTAGAGGTGTCTCCACTGGAGCCTGCTAAGGCCGAAGGCACCCAGGGGGACAGGGCTGCTGCAGATGAGCTGGAGGAGCCTAAGGAAGGGATGCTGGGGCAGAGCACCGACCCCGCTCCGCACCTGCTCCACATCCACGGAGCGGAAACGCTGCAGGGAACCGGGACCGACGCAGAGGGGAGGCCTCGGGATGGAGCCCATGATCTAGACATGGAGCAGGGAGTGAACCGTGAGGCAGGCGAGCGGTTTTGGGGCTGGATGGAGGGTTTCCAGCTAGAGCAGGACAGTGGCGCTGGCACAGCCTCACCCGTCCCAGAGGTGCCCTTAGTGTCCAGGGGGAGAAGGCAGGCAACACTCATGCAAGAGGATGTTCTCGTTCCAGATGTGCCACCGCTAGGCGTTTCGGGACAGGAACAGGTCTCAACGTGGGCAGATAAGGTGAGGCCAGATGTTGCTCCCGAGCAGCTACTGCCAAGGGAGAAGCTGCTGCAGGTGATGGAAATGGAGCAGGCAGCTGCTGAGCCTCCAAAAGAGGAAATGGCACCAGTGTCTGCCCTTTGGCCAAGTGTCCAGTGCAAGGACAACATGGGGAGCAATCCCATGGGGACACTTGGAGACAGCCCGCTGAGGGACACAGCCAACAGTGGGGTGCAGCCTCCAGCACAGCTCTTGGAAGAACAAAGAAATGGTCTGGATGTTGGTCATGGGATGGTCAATGGTCATGGGGATGGGAAGCAAGACGTCGTGCTGGAAGCAAGTCAGGAAGCAAAGCCCAGAGCAGAAGACTCAGGGGCCGTGTTGGTCCATGGGGCAGGACGGGCTCCAAGAGGCTCTCCCGACCCAGACCACCTCTACAACGTGCTGTTCGTCGGGGACTCCCACGTGGGCAAGACATCGTTCCTGTACCGGTTATGCGCCGACTCCTTCAACCCACACATCGCTGCTACAATAGGTAGGCTTCCTTCTGCTCTTCTCCAGCGCGCCCCGTCCTTGCTTGGGTAACCACGGCACTTCCCTTGCCTCCTCCCTCAGCCTTCGCTCTTGGAAACAAGATGCAAATCCATTTAAATTCTCCAAAATCCATTGCTCATTGTCAGTCACAACACAAGCTGCCAGTGGCCATTACATGCAAGGCACCGCTCACATCCAGCGCATGAAGGACCTAGGAGAACCCAGGACCTCCAGAGTTGGAGGTCATGCACTCCAGAGAATTAATGCTGATGTGATTTAAGCAGGGTGTAGCCAAAGGCCCTGTTTTTTGTTTGTTTGTTTGTGATTGTTTGTTTGTTTGTTTTGTTTTTCCACTCTTCTCTTAACCAACCTGCTTTTCCTCAGCCTAAGATTTGACACCTTGCCAAAATGTGGCCAGTTTGTTTGTTTTGTTTTTCCACTCTTCACCAACCTGCTTTTACTCAGCCTGAGATTTGACACCTTGCCAAAATCTGGCCGTTGAAGATCTAAAAGCTTGAGGGATCAGCTGCAGGCCACACATGCCCTGTGTGATTGCTACAGCCATCCTCTAGGTTGGCCAACCCTATAGGATGTTCCAAATGTTCCCGTTGCATATGTCCTAGGGCTGGATTACCAGATCAAAAACCTTATTGTGGACAACAAACTCTTCACTCTCCGCCTGTGGGACTCAGCTGGGCAAGAAAGGTAAGGCCCTGCGCTGCGGCGAAGCAACCGGGACGTTCTGGTAGCTTGCAGAGATGTATTTTCAAGCTCAGAATTCAAGAATATAAATATATGGCTAAGTAAAACATCTGCCAAACTCTGGAAAATACCATTTTGAGCCTTCCCCCAAGCAATATTTTGCCATTTCTGCAGAATGAAACATTCTTACTCCCTGTTGGTGACGGTTTAAAATGTCACAGGTACCACAGCATCACCAAGCAGTTTTTCCGGAAGGCAGACGGCATCATGCTGATGTACGACATCACCTCGGAATATTCCTTTGCGGACGTGCGCTACTGGCTGAGCTGTATCCAGGTGGGTGGACTGGGAAATCTGCGGTCCTGCCAATGCTTTTCCCTATTTTGCAATGTTTCCAGATATTGTCTGTTGCTAATATTGTTATGGTGATTATTGACCTATCTGTGGCTGAAAACTGTAAAGTACAAGCGAGTGACTAAAAATACTGGAACAAAATAGAGGGTCACTTTGCTCAGGGCCCTTAAATCAGAGGTGGATCATCTTCACAAAGTCAAATACAAAGCGAGTCAGCTACAGGCATAGCTCAGCTAGGTCTCTATTATTTAAGAGGTAGGAGAGGTTATTTAAGAAGAAAACTCCAACTTTTCTTAAGTTCTTGAGCTAGGTTAATAGGATTTAAGGTTTCATTATCACCCCAAGCCCATGGGTATTCCTGGTGGTACTCCGAAGTGTGTTTAGATGTGTCTGGCCATGCTGCAGAGAAGATGTAGATGCAGCCCTGCTTCTTCCCCCTCTAACTGCCCAGGAAGGAGCAGAAGACGGAGTCACCGTTCTGCTCCTGGGGAACAAAACGGACTGCGCTGCGGAGAGACGCGTCCCGACGACGGAAGGGGAGCGCCTGGCTCAGGTAGGTGCCTTCCCTGATGAAGCAACCTTGCCGCTAGCTGAACACGAGCCGGATGAAGCAAGGAGAGCTGGAAGGATCCGAGATGCCACCAGCTCCCACCTGCCCGAGGACCTGGAGGAAAGCCAGAAGCCCTTAACCCATCTCCTGTTCATCAGTGGCCAGGAAAGGGACAGCAGAATCTGCCTTACCATCCTGACCCCCCTCTTGTTGTCCAAGGGCTGATCCATATTAACAGTTTGGGATTTGGACTGGTATCAGCTGAGCTGTTTTACATATGGAGGCACCAGGACAGAGAGGTTAGATGCTTTTTTCCCCCCGCAAACTAGTTACCGGCAAAGCTTGAAAGACCTGGGAACATCTCGTTACCATCTCCATATTCAGTACTCTAATCAGACTGTCTCACATCTGCTGCTGTCTGCAGCATCTATCTTTTGCTCAGTATTAAATATTGCTGTTGTAGCTATGAGAAGAGCTGGATTTCATCCCTCACATTCCTGTAAATAGTAATTATTCAGTTACTTGCTTCCTTGAATCTGTGAGGCCCTCTGGTCCTTGGGTTTCTGCTTGACAGTGACCTTTCCTTGGATATTTACCTCCATGTCTATGAAGTTATTTTAACCAAATGCAAGAGAAGTGTGTTTCTAGTTGGACTTCTTGTCTTCCAGGAGCACCAGCTCACCTTTTATGAATGCAGTGCTGCCTCGGGCCACAACGTCTCCGAGTCCATGGTCAGCTTAATCAGGTGAGCCAAAATTTCACCCAGCTCCAAATTAATGGGCCGTGAAGGGCCAGGGTGTGCTGCAAGATGTGCCTGTCCTCCTCCCAGGCTACTCAAAATCCGTGAAGAGCAACTGAAGACCAAGGTAGAAGAGGAACCAAAGCCAGTGCAGCATCAGTGCTGCTGATGTGGGCTGGTTGCCTGCTTTGAGTTGAAACAGCTGGAAAAGCGCCAAAACAGCCCCCAGGCCCCAGCTCTGCTTCCCACGGGTGCCAGCTCTGCTCCCCGCGCGTCCAGCTTGGCTGCTTCCCACTGCTCGGAGCAAGAGCCATCGGGAACGTGCAGCCCGTCATCCATCTCCTGCCCATGTAATGGGCCTCGAGTAAAACCCAGCCCCAAAGCACCCAAACGCTTGGAAAAACTTGTCGGGAAACTTGACCACTTGGATTTGGACACTGAAACCTGGCTAAGGAACGAGGTGGAGAAGGAGCCCAGCTGCATCTTGAGCTCCCAGTTTATTTTTTATTTCTTTACAACTCAGAGCAGAGAAATGTCTCTTTGCAGAGAAAGCCATGCAGACAAAGGAGAAAAAATATATATATTTTACGCTTTTATAATATTACAGAGGGAAGTGTATTGCTTCTTCCCCCAGCAGCTCAACAGATATATCTGAACACAGTGACTACGTGCAGATTTTGGAAAATAACCATGCTCAGATTGTTTTTGGTTGCCACTCTTATTTAAATGTATATTCAGCAGAGTGAAGTAGCTGAAGGAAAACCTGTCTTGTTGATGGTTTTACAAAAATATAGTCAATAAGAGTTTCATTTGCAATAACAGTATACAAAAAATGGCTCTTATTCTGGATATTTTGGGGTTCTGTTACAGCGCTCGGCAAGAGCATTTGCCTGCACGAGAAGATGGGGTTGAGGTGGCCCAGGCTAAACTCTCCCATTAGATGGCAGCAAATGCAGCAATTCCTTCCATCTATGTAAAATTGCTGTTGCAAATAAAGAAAAGGACGCTCTGAAGTGGAGACTTGGAGAGGAGATGGCTCCAAAGACTGTCAGGATGAAAGAAACGGCTGTTTCATTCTGCCAGAAGCTACATGTACAAAAGCCAAAACAAATTTTGCTTTTATAAAAACCTCCCGTGCCAACTTGGAAATTATTATTATTTTTTGCCAAGCTGAGGGAAATGCCAAAAAATAAAATAACATAGAATAAATTTAAAAAATCCACCCCAAAAAGCATGCTGAGAAACCTGCTGCCTCAGTTTCAAAGCATTTTCTGCCTTTAATAACTGGGAATCCCAGTTCTTTGCAGTTTCAAATCAAAGGGACTCCTCATTTGCAAGTTCTTAAACACATGCATGAGTAGTTGGAGACAGATCAAGGTCTAAGGTATTAATAGTAACATGCAAAAGCATATTTATTTGTACCACAAGTGTGTTTGTTTATATATATATATATATAAATGCCAGGTTGCTTCCCTTCAAGCCATTCCTAATTATGAAAGGTGCTCGACGAGAAACACGGGAACTTCCCAAGTGACGTCGATGCAAAATCCACATTCCCAGCCTGAAGCCATCGAGCGTTTCCCATCCCTCGGCTCCTTTGCACCTTTAAAGCACAGGAGCTGGATGGGATCCCGAGGAATTTTAACAAACCACCAGTTCTGGATATGCTGGTTCCCAGCTCTGTGCCACCATCCAATGCAACAGTCATTTATTCCTATCTGCGGATAAAGAAAAAATAAGGAGCAAAGGGAGAAGAGATCAGCTCATAGTGGGGAAATGGAGACAAGCAAAGGGAAAACCACCTGCTCCTGGCACCGTCCTCCTTCCCTCGGCACGCGGGCTGCGAGCAAAGAGCTGGAGCCCTCCTTGTTTTTATTTTCTTCTCCCACTTCACAAGCTGGGATTTAAAAGGCCGGAAACACAGGGCTGACCGGGGAAGTCCTTTTTCTCGCAGTGTTTGGTGAAGGGGGCACAATCCAGCGCCATGGGAAGTTGTTGGGGCTGAGAACGAACACACGATGGGGCAGGGGAGCGGGGCCACGCGGAGGGGCCCGGGGGCCCTGGCTGCTCCTGGCGGGTCTTGGGGTGCTCAGGGGGGTGCTGGGGGTGCGGTGG